AAAAAAAAAAAAAAAAAAAGAAAAATTGAAGAGAAAAGATGACAATGGCAGCTGTTGGACAGCAAATTATATAAGTAACACGCCACCACGTCTGCATTTTTACGCAACGTTGTCGAAAATTGTCACAAAGAAATCCCAAGTCCTTTCGACTCTCTTACCTTTCTGCACGAGATTCAAAATTAATTCAGAAGCATCCATGAGTGCCTTCCCTTCTTGCATGGAGTATATATCAATAAATAACTATTAAACGATCGTTCAGTGTTCAACAATAAAATGTCGTGCACGAGACGCTTAATAATTACAAAAGCTAACGAGCGCAGATTGTATTCCGTTGTCGAGCGGGGCGCGTTGGTTGTTGAAAACACTTGAAAAATCGTTGCGAAACGATGCGATTTTCTTGCTTTTCTTTTTTTTCCCCGGCCTTCTTGCATGACATCAGCCATGAACGCGCCTAACAACGGAAGATAGTCGTTTAAGTATTCGCATAAAGACTTCTCTATCCTGTCTAAAAATTTTGATAAAAAAAAAAAGTTATGTCACGCGGTGAGTCTTGTTCGTGCGACAGACGTGGGATAGATTACTATGGCGTATTATCGTTGAAAAAAGACTGCGACGATTTGGAAATCAAAGCTGCGTGAGTAAAAGCTCTGATGTTATAAAATATTCATAATCAGACTGTTACCTAAAAAAAAAAAAATTAATCGATCAAATTATACCAACGTTATTGTTTCAAATGTGAAAACACAATTTGTATTTGTCAATGGATATAAAGTTTTCATTTGACTGATGCAAGTGTTTTATTATTTTCAGATATCGACGATTAGCGATACGTTACAATCCTAAAAGAACAAAGGGCGAATGTTTGAATGCTATTTTCGCTTTAGTGGCCGAAGCGTACGATGTGCTTTCAGATCCCCTTAAAAGAACTATGTACGATCAATTCGGCGAAGAAGGTCTTAAAAATGGCGTGCCTGGAGCCGAAGGATTTATTCAACCGTACACTTATCATGGAGAACCGATGAGAACTTACAAGTATTTTGATCAAACAATCGCTTCAACGTATACACAAGTAAAATTCTAATCCTAGGGATAGAATTTTACTAATTCTATTATTCTACTAATACTTCTACTCTTCTCTACTCTTCTACTCTTATTATACTAATTCTATCCCTTTGTACATTGTATGTTATTTGTATGGCATTTTATTTTATTTGTTCCTTCCTTATTTGTTTTTACACTTTACACTTCGCCATTGATTGCATTGATCCTTCGCTTGACCCAACAACTTGAAACCACATACACAGTCACTTTGAAAACTTTGAATATTTACGATTCGATCTACCTGCATGTTTCTCATCAGCAGCATCTCTGCAGGGAATTCTTCGGTACCGAAAGCCCTTATGCTGATCTACTCTACGTATTAACACAGTCTCTGACTCTGCTCGAATTTCCCGAGGGTCGAGGTATAAAACGCAAGGAAGAACCTCTGATAAAAACCTTGTATCTAACCCTAGTGGAGGTACCATATCGACGTTTTATTTATTTATAGTTTTCTTCTGTCAGTGTTAATCACTGAGTAGACAATGTGCGACTCGCCCCGTTGTATCGCCCCTTTATCACTTGCACACTTTCACAAAAGTGTCCATTCCATCCGTCATTGACAAAAATTTGCTAAACTAATACAACTGAATTAAATTATTAACTCAGTGAGACAAGCGATCTTCCTTCATCTGTATACACACTGACGATCAGCTGTAAATCCATCTTGCTTACATTAAATAGGTTTTCCTTGGAGGAATAAAGAAAATGAAGATACAAAGATTAGTACTGGTAGGGGATGATAAGTCTAAGACAGTGGCGAAAGAAAAAATTTTAACGATACCGATCAAGCCAGGCATCCCGACGGGAACGAGGATAGTATTTCCAGAGGAAGGTGATCAAGGACCAACGAAAATCCCCGGTAAAATTGTCAATGACAATTGAAGCAAAGTACTTGGCCTTCGTTTGATACATTTCTGTCCAATTTCTGCCTTCTTCGTGAACAGTTCGTTACAGCCTTTTAGCTTGTATATCGATTGGTATTTCGCGGTGGGTGCATTTAAAATGCATCGTACGTTTCATAGCGGACAGAAATGGGTTAATCGTAGTGGCTCGCATAATATCTTTACTCAGTCCAAAGCACGTCAGCGTAGCGGATGTAATCTTCATCACGGAGGACCGGCCTCACGAGACCTTCCGAAGAGAGGGCTCTGACTTGCACATGACGGTCGATATCTTTCTGCGAGAGGCACTGACCGGAACAGTGGTCACCGTCAACACCCTCGACGACAGAACCCTTCGAATACCACTAACGTCTGTCATCACGTACGTGTCTACCGTCTCCGATTCATCCTTCCTTCACCTCCCTTTCTTTCCACTTCATCTTCGCCTCGCTTTGCGTCCAGTTAGTTGAATCATTATTTCACGTTTTGTTTATAATGAAATCTAAAATTAGATGCAATTAGTGTCAAAGCCTCGACTTCGAATGAGACTACTGTTGTTTGCTCATAGTAGTATTTAAACAAAATTGTTTCACGTTTTGATGATTGATTATTTTGTTGTATAGTGTACACGAGTAGTTTGCAGTGGTTTGTTCATCTTCGCCTCGTGCGTCCAGTTAGTTGAATCATTATTTCACGTTTCGTTTATAATGAAATCTAAAATTAGATGCAATTAGTGTCAAAGCCTCGACTTCAAATGAGACGACTACTGTTGTTTGCTCATAGTAGTATTTAAACAAAATTGTTTCACGTTTTGATGATTGATTATTTTGTTGTATAGTGTACACGAGTAGTTTGCAGTGGTTTGTTTTTGTTTTGTTAAAGGTAGGCCAGACCACAGGAAACGCATAGCTGGCGAAGGACTGCCATTGCCGGAGAACCCAAAAGAAAGAGGAAGTTTAATCATGTCGTTTAACATCGAATATCCGGTGTATCTGCCAGTGTCGAATAAAGCTTACGTTAAACGAGCGTTCAACACGTCGGAGGACATCAGGGACACCGAATACGTGCATCGTCTTATACTGGCCAATAAAATGCGTAGGAACGTGGATTTTGATGTTCCCGTGCGTCGACAGCCCGACGATTGCGAAACGAACGAATTAAACACTGTCCGTAACATTTGACTTTCCATTGATCTTTTATTACTTTATTCGTGTAATTCCACCACTCGAATCAATGCTTGAAAACTCGTCGAAATTGCAAATGAAAAATGTATGTACAATTCATTATACGTTATTACAAACAAATTTACTATACCTATTATTCGAATATATTAGCGCTCGATGGCCTCTTATATAAAAATTAAATACAATTAAGCAAAGCTCTCTCTTTGCTTTGAAGTTCTCCGATCTGCCCGTTACTTTACAAAATGGATCTCGCCGTTGTCACACACAGATCGCAATTTCTGAAAATCGTCCAAGTTACATTGAAATGGTTCCAAACGGTTTCTGTTACTTAACCTAAAATTCAAAAAGACTCTGAAGGCATCGATGGCTGAAAAAAGTGGCACGTTGCCGCAGAATTAAAAATGCAATCGTCGTCGTTTAGTAGCTACTTGCCGAGGCGATTCAGGCACAGATTTCAAACGCGGTTGGCTGTAACGGCCAATTGCCTTGGCGATCGCCTTGGTACCGCGCTCTTGCGGTGCACCACGCAACCTCCATCGCAGCGAAACGCGTATGTACCGTGCGCAGTCAATAATCGATCCCTGTCCTGCGGATTCTTCTGTTCTTATCTATTTCCGCGGAACTTCTCAAAGCCGCCGGATTCCGCCGAACCGGTTCCACGGACCGCGCGGACTCGTTCGATCGCGGCGGCGAGGAAGCGGGGACAACAACTGGCGGATGTCGTGAATGTCGAACGAAACACGATAATCTCGGGCAATCATATGACTCCTCCGCACGTGACTTTATTTACAGTTGACTGATACTCGCGAACATGTATGGTGTAGTTCCCTGTGACATGATAGACCGAAAACGAGACAAAGTTGGCGAGCAATGCGGTAGCTATAAACGGCCGGCTCGTTTATAATGCCTTTGCTTGATAAGTTGTTCCCCTCGAGGAAGAGTTTCAGAAACAACGTGCAAACCCTCGTGGCGTCGAATGTCGGAACGGAAGGAGACGATAGGTGAGAAAGGCTGCCCAGTTTTCTTTCTTTTCACGGGCACGCGTCACGCGTTATTTCTTTTTTTTATATTCGTTCATCTCGTTTGCTCGTGTATCGTCATTGATCCACGGTTATCGATCTCGTCCCATAGCGTCGATATCTGCCGTTGCACGATCGTACATATCGATTGTCCGTCTCTTTTATATCGTTCTAACAGATACTCGTGCGCGACTCTGGTCAGAGAAAACTTGACTTCTGTTGAAATGAGAAACGGGGGATATATGTTTCGCAAAATCTTCCTAGCAGCAGCATTTTTCATCCAACTTAACCTATATCTCCCGTTGGGTTTCCATTTGCCCATTGGCGGGAGACGTAATCTCGCCGTTACTAACGTACTCGTGACTTGGCTTATGCATCGAGATCGTGAAATCGATCTCCGCGAATGTTTCCCCCTTTGTTTATTTCAACACTTACGCACGTTATTTAAATTACTTAGGTCGTTTTGTGGTAGAAAAAAAAAAAAAAGGAATTCTATCATTATTGAGATGTATATATTTTATAATATATGTAATTTAAGGTGCAGATTATGTACTGACGTTATTCGAGCTTTGTATATGCAACAGGGGAATTATTTTTGATAAACGGTCATGGGATTGTTGTAACATTTAAAATTAACACCTGCTATAGATTAAAAAGTTATGTAAGAAAAGCCAGCATATATCATTTCGGTATAATATTAGACGATCGCGAGTTAAAATTAAGATGTTATTTTGTTAAGTCACTGCACGAGCTAATAATGGTTGTTCAACTTGCACTTGCATAATATAAAGATATGTCGTTTTTGTCTGTTTCTGGCTGTTCAGTTTGTCTATCTTTCATTGTCGTCGTGTGATTTTATAATCGACTTTTTGCAGAAACTCCGCGTTATGCATTGGAACAGGTCACGTGCGGATTTTGTTATTCCGCGAGTGCGAATGGCGCGGAAGGAAACTCCTCTTTGATTCCCTCCCGTTGGAGAGAAGATGGTGTAAAAATAAAACGACCGCGTTCAATATTAAAAACAATGCCGATTCATCGAACGTCGGGTCGATTAGTCTCGGGAGCAATCCCATGTTCGAGGTAACAAACGACAATAAACTGTGAAAATGAAACGCAATTTTCGATTAATCCTTAAATGTATAAAAAATTCCGTAATTAAAATTCGTACACTTGTATATTTTTTTAGCGAGAAAAAATGGCTGAGGAGGACATTAGCTTGCTGAGCGAAATGGTGTTTGGCACCGTAGCGATGACGTACAGAGGATCATCATTCAAGGTAAAAAAACAAAGTAACATATTAATATGAAAAATATTATTTTATCGAAATTTCAAACGAATTTGTTCGTTTTCAAGATTCACTCGATGAGCTCGCCATCCTGTATCATGTGCACAAAAGTCTTCCCTGCTACAGAGCACAACATGTGCAAACAGCAAAAGTAAGCTCTATTCCTAATAAGACAGTTATTGATTTCACGTTAAGACAGATAGATGGATACAGTGTCTGATTTATTACTCAATCATGTTTTAGCGAGAAAGTCTCGGACGAAGGGTTGGGTCGTTCCGTGAACTTGGATTCTAATTCCAGTATGCGAACGCTTTGTAGGTAGCACCTAACCAAACTAATATCAGTATGGATTAACTTCAATTACGTACAGTTTCAATTAGAATATGATGTGCGTGATAATTTTCTAGTGTCCCGACCGAGTTCTGGAAATCTATCGGGAACTGAATTGAACACTGGTGTCAGGAAAAGCTCGACTTGCTCCAGCACCGGTAGTGGGTGGAATATAGACATACCACCACCGACAGGGAGTAAGTTAAACTAAGCAGGCCGAGTATATCGGTGTTTGAGCCAAGCTAGAAGCTGATCCATTGTCGAAAGCTGTTTATTGTTTGGGATGTAATGCAATATTAATTCAGGTTCGCAATCGTTGGAGAGTAATGGTTCCTCTGGTATCGGTAGTCTTTCAAGCTTGCGTCGAAGATGGTTGCGTGGAGCCTCCACCTCTTTAGCGCGATCAGATTCTGATGATACGTTTGGAGTGCAATGCTGGCCCGAGAGTGGAAGCGATAATAAAGAGGGTCATAATAAACGTCATAAAACGAGACTCGGATTAACGATGTTGGTCCAATTAGCCGAAGGCCATGAGAGGTTAGAACTTAATTGGAGATTATCCATGAATGTTTCGACATTTCATTTTCATTTTATCTTCCTTGTTATTTCCTCCTCCCCCCTTGCAGAAGAATAGAAATTCGTTTGTTGGAGCACATGGCTCTGTTGGAAGGAATGCTAGATCGCTTGCGATATTTCTGTATTGACTCGAGTAATGTTAATGCTCAAAATAAAGGAATGCAGCTTCCTGAACGTCTTTATAGATCTTCCTCGCAGTTCATTGTTTCGTTACTACGTTTACTTACAAACATTAATGCTGATTTAAACTCACGCACACCTTTATTATGGCATGACATACTACTCAATTCAGTGAAGATAGAGCATAAAATGAATACGCTGCATCGTAGTTTGGAACAGATGTGTCAGCTGTTGGATAATATCGACACAAAGTCGACTAATTTGTAAGTATCTGAACGAAAAGTATTTCAAAAGTCTTCAGAGATTGAAATTAACATTCATGTATTTTAGTTTTTTAAGTACTGCTGTAACTGCTGTTTTAACATATCATCTTGGTTGGATATATACTACACTGCCAATCCATGATCAACAATTGGTAAAAAAATCTTTTTTTCTTTGTTTTTTAGAAAAAAAAATATTGTACAAAATACAGCAAATACATAATTACTTCTAGATGGAGAACTTAGGCACCTGGTATCCTTGTAATCCATTATGGGCTCAATTAGGCGACTTGTATGGTGCATTAAGTAATCCCATCAGAGTTGCACACACGGTTGTCGCGGGTGATCCTCAAAAAATCGATTTAGTTAATTCTGTTCTCTTCTTCTTGTCATACTTTATTCGTAGCGGAGTAGTACAGAAACGATACGAATATTGCAATGTTACTGAGGAAGACATTCAAGAAGCTGCAAGTCTTCTGGAACAAGCGAGAATAAAACGTCCGCATTTATTTACTATGAAAGCGACAAGCAACGATCGAGAATCTGTAACTTGTCGACGTGCATCACGCACGTCTGTTCGGAAAAAAGTTTCCGCACAGGAGTTCTCGTACGACGCGGAAGACGATAACGCCATTATGCAACGCTCCTATCCTCAATACAACGGAGAAGAATTAAGAACGGAAGGATCTATTAGCTCTCTTAAACGTAGCATCACAATGGAATCGAATCTTGATTCGTTGATGCTGAAATCGGTTGAACGTGAAACAAAATTCATTTTGAAGGAGTATCCTCACGACGATGACGGTAATGAAAAAAACACCGTCGACGAGAAAACCTGTACATCGAGCAAAGTTAAAATAGTAGTAAGCGAAATTGCATCACAAGATGTTGACTCGGGCAAGACTGACATGCAACACCATCCTGAATTTTCGCTGCGTAATTTTGAAAAGAAGATGGAAGACGATGATTTGGACGAGGCGTACACGAATTCTAAGATAGATGCTTTTCAGGACTTTGATGATACATGCCTTGATACATTGAAATTACATTCAGCCAGGCCAGAATTTCAAACTAGGCAAAGTACGGATAATGAGATGAAGAATTCCCATGTTTCTTTCACGCTCGGTGATGAAGAAAAATCTGTAAAAAACTTGTCACAATTACGACTTGGATACGATTGTCAGTGTTCGTACATGTTCACGAGAGTACCGAGCACGTCTGCACAATTGCCAGAAGGTGTATTAAGAAAAATTATTCAAAGAAACTTCCCTGAGTCATCCAAAAGCATTCACCCACCAGGAGCAACTTCACGATCTCTGAGATTTTGTCAAAAATGTAACGGGCAAGGTTACGTACCTTCACAAAATTACGATAGCTGCAAACAAGTTTTGGAAACTCCGACTAACGCAACAGAAGTGTTGCGCACCTGTGGTAATACCGTGGGCGATGGAAATGTTGGATTATCAAGATCGAGCAGTCTAGAAGCATTGATGGAAGCTAACAGTGTTATCGAATTACCAATGCCACGGTCAGTGTCGTGGACTACAACAAACATTTATAGCAAGTAAAATTAAAATTTCTAAGATCTAAAATTTATAATTACAGGACAAAAAAAATGAAAAAGACTGACTCATATCAGGAGACAGGTTTTACAAGAACTCTTTTGCAAAACAGAGTAAAATCCACAGAATCACTGGGATTGAATAATTCTGAACCATCTTATACGTGGGGTCTAGTTTTACAAGGTTTACTGAAAAAGAAAAAAAGGAGAAAAAAGAAGATTGTCCAACAAGAAGAAAATAGAGACAACTGCGAATTAGATAAAGAATGGTGGTATTTCATACGTGAAGAATGTCTTGCCAGTGCACGTTTTCCGACTATTGATCAACCAATTGCCGAATCACTTTGTATCTTAGCGGATTTAGATACTTGGCATGTTGGAATCATCTCTAATAATATGCCTTCACATACTGCACCATTACTAGTTGGAATGTCAAGACTCGTTGCCAATATGTTGGAAGGCTTTGCTTATTTATGGCGAAAATATCATTCAGCTTCACAAGTAAGAAACTGTACAGTTTAAATTATCAATATGAAAAAAAGTTCCTTACAGAAAATATGTTTATGACAAAATATGTCGTTTTTTTCTAAAATTGCAGTGTATAGGTATATTGGAAGCAAAACTAAAAGAAATGTGGTTAAAAAGTGAGGCACTGGCTGAAATGTTATTAGCAACAGAAGTATGCGATGCCAGCGTTGCAAATTTGACAAACGCTCTCGATCTTGATGCAGCGGATATACCACTTTTACTCGCGGTTGCAACCTCCCACTCGCCTGAGATAGTCCAAAAGTTTGGTCTTACACTTACTTGATTGTATCTCATTTTTATTATAAATTTTACTTTAGGACATAAAATCCTTTCCTTGACCGATATAGCGGAAATGTCTCATTTACAAAACATGGTTGTAGATTGTTATTGTTGTTATTGGGTAATATTCCCATTAAACTATCGTCCGTTCTCTAAACAACAAAAAAGACACATGAATGTTCAAACAACTTCTTTTAATCGACGTTTAATTACGTTTAATTGTTAATGTTTGTATATGTTATAAAATGTTAATTTATTGTGCAATATATTACATCTAATTTGCATTTAAATATTAATACTTAAATATATATTTTATAATAAAAAGATTTTAGAATGTTTAAAACATTATTCAAATTTTTAACGGATATTAAAAGAACGGATGACATAATTATAAATATATATATAAATAATATATAAATATAATGTACAAAACAAGCAAAATATAGTCTTTTTATAGAATTGCGAAATTACACTTTTAATATTAATAATAATAATATATATGGGAATTATATTTGTTTTTTTACACGACATAAAACAAAATTTAAATTTATATACTCTGTAAGAATAATAAAATTTAATTTTTGTACTTCTATATATTTTGTTCAACATTGTAACCTTTTTTGTAACATTGATATTCAAATCTTGTTAGAAAACTAATTATTGTTATAACATTAAATATTTTATTATAATTAATATAACGATGAGAGGAATATAAAACAGATTCTTTTATGAAAGCACATTGACTTTATTCTTCAATAATAAGAGAAATTGAAAATGTTAAACGCTTTGATTTTATTATTAGTTCAGCAAATTGCAAAGATATTATAAAGTGGCATTTCTTTAATCGAGAAAAAAATTTAAATGTGAAATATATTACAAATTATTGATTTGTATTCACGATATCGTCAATCTTTAATATGCTGCGAACAGTTTCCGAAGCAAGTGTAATAGCACTTGTAGAAACTAAAAGTGGTTGAATCACATTTTCTTCCAAAATATTGGTGATTGAACCCTTTCGCACATTAATTCCTGTAGTATGTTCGCCCTTGGCATGTCGGTTTCGAAGTTCCGTTACAGTTGCAATGGGATTTAATCCGGCATTTTCTGCTAGTGTCGATGGAATTATCTACATGTTTAAAAATATATATTTAGACAATATGTTGAAAATCTATATGTATTCAGTGTCAAATATAGGCTATAAGAACTTACCTCGAACGCATTTGCAAACGCTTTAATACAATAAGCATCAACACCAGTTAAAGTTTGAGCATATGCTCCTAATTTTAGTGCAAGTTCTATCTCAGGTGCTCCTCCTCCAGCAATTAAAGCTTTCTGTTTTACTAGACAGCGTACTACACACAATGCGTCGTGCAATGAACGTTCTGCTTCTTCCAAGACCAATTTATTGCTGCCCCGTACAAGAACTGTTACTGTTGGTCCAGGATTTTGTATTTTAGTAATCTAGAACAAAAAGATATAAAAGAATATTTGCAACAAAAAAATATTTAATATTTTATAAAATGATAATTTTTAAATATACTAACTTTAACAAACTTAGAATTTCCAGTTTGTACTTCTTCGCATAATTCTGCGTTAACAAGATTTTCAGCGACAAAATGATCCAATGATGCGATTGGTCTACAACCTAACGTTTTACATACGAATGAAATATCTTCGCGCTCGATGTCTTTAATCACCATAACTTTGATTTTATCTAAAAAGTGTATAGCTAGATCACTGACAGCGTCGCGAAGAATGGATTTCTGTACTAGGAGTACATTGCAACCAGCTTTTTTGATTTGTTTCACGATATTTAATATGTAAGTTCTTTCTTCTTTCAAAACACGATCCATTGCAGCGTAATCGGATACGATTACATTATGATCCATCTAAAGCAACAAAAGTATTCCAATTGTATCTAAGATTACAATTTTTTATTTGAGTATCTCTTTCTTTGAAAATACTCACGTCTGTTTTAGGCGGAGAAATACAGAATTGAATTAAACCTATTTTCGCTTTTTCAATGCGCTTTGGTCCATTGACGTTACAAGATTTTTGTGTGAATATCAATCCCTCTATAAGTTCAGTGTCCTCAACTGTACCTCCTAACTTTTTAATTACTTTTATATTCTGTCAATGTAATAATATAAATCATCAATACATAAACTTAGTACAGTTACCATTGTAATATAATTTATATATTTCTTACATTAAGATCTACAACACTTTCTTTCCCTTCTTCAGTGACTTTTAATACTGCATCTACAGCCAGTGGTGCTAAGAGACTCGATTGTTGAAAGACAACCTCAAAAAAAAAAAAAGAATTGCATAATTACAATTTTGTGAATTCTGCAAATTTATAATTATGTCTATTTATTATATATATAGATCTTAAAGTATACTTTTGAGTTTAGGGAGGTTGCTGCAGCTCTGATCAGTGATTGTTTGTCTTGCAAGTCAACAGGTATTGACATATTTGTAAGTATCTCTACAGCTTTCGTTGCAGCTTTTTGGAAAGCATCGCTGATCAATGTAGGATGAATTCCTTTTTGTAACAAACGTTCTGCAGCTTCTAAAAGAGAACCAGCTATGACAACGACACTGGTAGTGCCATCTCCAGCCTCGACGTCTTGTGCCTTGGATAATTCAACTAACTGTACATGTAAAAACAAACAAAAAATGTATGAAAAACGACCCAAGTTCCTTAATGTTCTCAATATGATTAAAAAATTACCATTTTTGCTGCAGGATGTACAACATTCATTTCTTTTAAGATTGTAGCACCATCATTGGTAATTGTAACTTCTCCATTGCCTGCTTGGATCTAAACGTGCAAAACAAAATATTACAAGTGTATCTACAAGGAACAAATGAATAACTGATTTATCAAATGTTACCATTTTATCCATTCCTCTAGGACCAAGACTTGTGCGAATTGCATCACTCACAGCTGAAATATTAAAATTCAATATAAAAATTTCATTCAGAAGTATGTTCACACACGAAGGGCATTGTTGGGACTGCAGTTAGTTATAAAAATTGCAGTTAATAAAAAATTGCACATATACCCACAGTCTAATTTTTTTAATAATTAAGACTGTAAATTTTAAATTTTAATATTAACAATTTTTTTCAAATTATAAATGACACAATAATCCCCAATCATGATATGTTGGGCATGACTATATAAGGCAAGATTTTTGTCGTAATAGGAAAAATTGAGATACTGCAGTCGACAAAAATTGAGATACTTCGAGCATACATCAGCAGCATTGTTCACTCACCTTTTGCGGCATTAATGTTGCTACTGCGAATGTCTGTTGGTTTACTTTTATCTTTATACGCCTGGCCATGAGCGTTTCGCCCATCGCCGCTTGCCGTGATCGCCGTCATTTTCGGCAAGTTGGTCACGTTTCTTAGGTCGGGTTGATTGCGAACCTTGTACGCGAGTTTGTAAGGAACTTCGTTCCTCTGTGTATTGGAAATGGTTTCTCGCGACACTTTTCCTCGCAATA